CTATGGTTGTTCATTATTTTTGTTATTTTCTCGCCTGGTCCATTATACTCCTGCTATGAGTGAAACCATCCGGTATTTTTCTTTCTCTTTCTGAATGGCCAGACTTTTACACTTCACCTCAGACTATGAAAGTTGTGGCCTTAGGTGACAGGGCTCTCGGTAGCTGAGGCCGATGCAGAATGTGGATGACCAGAACCCAAAGGCCAGGCAACAAGCCCCTTCCTTCCTCTTTCCCTCCCTTTCTCCCTCCCAGACACAGAATGGCCCACATGTCCGTCACTGTGCTGACCGCCTGCCCCCAGGACTATGACACGCTTCTCAAGCTTGAAGCACACTATGAGCATTCAAACTGTCTGGCATATGCCGATCACATGTTCTCAGCATGTAGATAGCATAAGCTTGCTGTGTAGATGTGGTTAGAATGTACATAACATGATGTCAATTACATCAAGAACAAAGAGGAAGCTTTGACACTAACCATAGAGAAAATATGTATAACCTGCTGTTCTGGATTAATTGGAGCTATTTAGGTGTCTATTTACACTGTATGTCCCAGAAACCGTATTAAATGTTTAAATGGAGTCAGGAACCAGAATGAGCACCCTCACATGTTTAAATCAATTACAGGACTCAGCATACCTTGCCTCTCCCACGGGAATTGGTGCTGTTTACCCCTCGAGCAGAACTTAGAGGACAGTCTGCAGAGATTACATTGGGGCTGTTCGTATATTTGGGGACTCCAAGACTGTGAGGTACATGGTTCTCACCAGGAATTCGCTTTTCAATCTGTCCTCTTTCTGCTGTTTGTTTCTGAATTAGCCCATTTTATTATTGGAACAGCTGGTTGGTTTTCTTTATTTTATTTTATTTATATGTGGTTGCCCATACAGGGATCCAGAGAAACTGACCACTCTGTGGGTGGTGGACAACCAGGTGTGGGTGCCCATGGAGCCAAACTGGGCTTGCTGTCTTCTAACTGACCCTGGAGTTTTTAGGGGCATTTCCCCCCTAAATTTGGACCTGATTTCTTTAATGGCTTACTGTTCGCCTAAACCTGTGATTATCTGGAAGGAGTCCTTACTGTGGCACAGAGCTAGCCCTCTAAGGGTTGGGGCTGTCCTGTGGACTTGTATTAGCTTGAGGAAGATTTTGTGAATTTAAGTGACTCTTAACGGAGTGGTGTTGGGCTTCGCTCTGATCCACTAGGAGCAGTTTCTACAGACTGGGGTCCTGCCAGTTGTAAATGTTGCACTCGCCTAATAGTTCTGAGAAAGGGATGCCTATGGCATTGCTCTTGGTTTGCACCTTGACCTGATTTTCTGAGAACAGGTTATTCCATTAAACGCGGTGCATTTGTATACGAGGGCTCAGGTTCACAGTGTTATAAGGACTCAAGTTTGGCCTTGACCCAATTTCCTTCTGGAGATGGAATCACCCATAAAGGAACAGGCTGTTTGGGAAATTCTTGGTAAGTAACTAATAAATAATAATAGATGACAATGGGACTTCTGTTAGCTAAGTGTCCTCAGGATAACTTCAGCAACTTGAAGAGGAGGCTCCTCTTTCAAGAATCTCTGTCAACTTACTGCGTCGGCTTCTAGGAATTTCTACATGCAGATTCCTAAGTAGACCGAGTGAACTAACCATAACTGAGAACTCCAGAGGCCTTTATGGTGAACTTTTGCATCCCCCAGATTGCTTTTCTTAAAACTGAACAACCAAGATTCTAAAACTGAGAATTTAAAGCTTCTTTTGATTGATAATATGGAGGCCCCAAATGTTACCAAGAGTCTTTAAGTGCCTCTTTGCAAACTAAGATTCTAAAATTAACAGACACAAACAGACTATTAAAGGAAAATAAAATGGCTTCTAAAGTTTCTCTCTTCTTGCCCCACCACCTTCTTTGTGTGCCACCTCTGTTACCATCTTCCCCTGTCCCTTCTGTGCCTCTTTCCTCAGCTTTGGACCGGAGACTGCAAAGTATGCTCAGGCCCCACCCCCAGAGGCATCTTTGCCCCCCTCTTCTGGACTCCCTATCTCCTTCCAGAGCCTCAGCCTGACAGTCAACTTTTGCTAAATTAACCATTT